TTTGTGGTCACCCCGAGGACGACTGAGTGTGTTGTCGTAGAAGTGCATAAAACGCATTATCGTCTCATATCTATGCCTGGCCATGGCAGCAGAGAACACGGACATGTGAACAAGCGGGTCTGTGGACCAATACAACCGCAATTGATTTTTATTATTAATGCCCATCTTGAGGGTTAGGCCCAAAAAAACTTTAAATTCGGAAACCGTAATGGGTTTCCATGCGAATGGTCTGGCAAGGTATGAATTTGGGTTGGCGGCGATATATTGTCGTGCATAATAAATTGCTTTGATCCACAATCAATGCATAAAGATCTTCTGTGAAAAACAGCTCAAAAAAATCAAGGGGAGTATTTAAATTTGCTGTTTCCACCTGAATTCCGGGTTGGGCAGTGAATGGGGGAAGTAAGTGTGCTGCAGAATTTGTGGGCTGCCAATCGGGATTTGCAAGCACATCCGGAAGGACACTAGGGACTCTACGGGCCTGTCTGCGAATTCTTGGTGGCCGCGGGACACTACTTGTGCTCGCCACCGCACCAGCTTGTACTGCACTTATGGGACTCGCCACGTCACCAAGTGATACTGCAGTGCTGGTATGTATACAACCAGGATGTACTCGCCAGTTCACCAAAAGGTAGTGCGGCACTAGTACTGGCACTCTGCTGCATATGAGAGTCATCATGCATTTGTACCAGCTCAGCAACCAGGGAATGGGATCGGGTACACCTGATCTTATCAGGGACCTCTTCCTCGTCGTCCGAGCTACCTGTCAGGGGCGCCGCTGCTGTCTATAGGTTCGTATTCTGAGCCTGATTCTGCCAGTGAGTCTTCCCCTTCGCTCTCACTTGACATGCTCAGAATCCTATAGGCCTCTTCACTAGAGAACCTTTGCTTGGACATTTTGGGCACTAAATTTACAGGTACCTAGTGTGCGACTCACGGGAAAAAGAGCGCCTGGCTGTCAGGGACTGCTTGAACCGCTACAAAAAATTTACCGACAAGTGCTAACAGAGATCAGGCCTGAATCTGTGAACACCTCGCTTTTGTGTGTAATATGTTATCTACTGACACTGCACTTGCTGGGGGAGAAGGGGGGGGGGGCGTAGGGGCTAAACGCAGGTGCTGGCAGGTGTCGGGGCTGATCCCGCTAACGCTGCGTTTTTGGGGATACTATAGTAATGTGAACGCTGGTATAGCGCTGATCTGATCAAAGATATTGAATCCAATCAGACACTATACTAGCAATGGAGGTTTAGCGTGCAAGTGGTTTTAAGTTTGTTCCTGGCAATCAAGGGGTCAAATGTGATTACTTGTGTACTAGCGGCAAACTGACGCTATCTGGGAGGGGCGCTAACACTATCGGAAGTCACCAGTGACACTAATACAGTGATCAGTAAAAAATCTGTTCACTGTAATCAATGACACTGGAGGACAGGGCAGTGAAGGGGTTAACTGGGGGGGGGGCGATCAAGGGGTTAAATGGGATTTCTGGTGCACTAGCGGGCAAACTGGCGCTATCTGGGAGGGGCGCTAACACTATCAGAAGTCACCAGTGACACTAATACAGTGATCAGTAAAAATCTGTTCACTGTAATCAATGACACTGGTGACAGGGCAGTGAAGGGGTTAACTGGGGGGGGGGGGCGATCAAGGGGTTAAACGGGATTACTGGTGTACTGGCGGGCAAACTGGCGCTATCTGGGAGGGGCGCTAACACTATTGGAAGTCGCCAGCGACACTGATACAGTGATCAGTAAAAATCTGTTCACTGATCAATGACACTGGTGACAGGGCAGTGAAGGAGTCAACTCGGGGGGGGGGATCAAGGGGTTAGACGGGATTACTGGTGTATTAGCGGGCAATCTGGCGCTATCTGGGAGGGGCGCTAACACTATCGGAAGTCGCCAGCGACACTGATACAGTGATCAGTAAAAATCGGTTCACTGATCAGTGACACTGGTGACAGGGCAGTGAAGGGGTTAACTGGGGGGGTGATCAAGGGGTTAAACGGGATTACTGGTGTACTGGCGGGGAATCTGGCGCTATCTGGGAGGGGCGCTAACACTATCGGAAGTCGCCAGCGACACTGATACAGTGATCAGTAAAAAATCGGTTCACTGATCAGTGACACTGGTGACAGGGCAGTGAAGGGGTTAACTGGGGGGGGGGGGGCGATCAAGGGGTTAAACGGGATTACTGGTGTACTGGCGGGCAAACCGGCGCTATCTGGGAGGGGCGCTAACACTATCGGAAGTCGCCAGCGACACTGATACAGTGATCAGTAAAAATCGCTTCACTGATCAGTGACACTGGTGACAGGGCAGTGAAAGGGTTAACTGGGGGGGGGGCGATCAGGGGGTTAAATGTGTCCTAGGTGTGTTCTAACTGTGGGTATGTGCTGTTTTACTCACTGTTAGTATGTCTTCTTCTCTGTCTGGAACGGAATGTGTCCAGGCAGAGAGTATGACATCATATCCTGTCCTGTGTAAATGTCAACACAGGACAAGATAGGACAGGGACCGATCATCTGATTTCAGCCAGACATCACTGGCTGAAATCTAATGATTGATCCCTCCGGGATCGAATGGTGTCACCCGCGGGTCGGGGCGGGAGTGCGCACGCGCGCCCCCTGCCCGCGAAAAACGTCGGGAGCGCAGAGCACGTTTTTTAAAACGTGCTTTTGCGCCCCAGTGCCGCCCTGCACACATATATATACAGTGGCAGGGCGGTGTTAAGAAATCAAAATTATGATTCGGCACTTATATTGATGGCAAGCTTGCAAAATATTTGGTTTTTATGATTAATCATAATTAATATTAATATGTGTGAATTGCCGCCTTAAACCGATGATATTATTTAATTCTTCAGTAAAATAACTGAGACCAAAAAGATGTCCTAAGAAATCAAAATTATGATTCGGCACTTATATTGATGGCAAGCTTGCAAAATATTTGGTTTTTATGATTAATCATAATTAATATTAATATGTGTGAATTGCCGCCTTAAACCGATGATATTATTTAATTCTTCAGTAAAACAACTGAGACCAAAAGATATATAAGTTAAGCTGAGACAAAAGATATGAATAAGTTAGCTAAACCAGCTGAAGGCTGAGTATACTATATTTAGGTATAGCTGGTTTAAACGTCTCTGGTAGTATATGTCAAGGTTATTAGAAGTGACTTATTACATTATGTATTTTAATAGTATCTGTGTGTATTAAGTATACGTTTCTAACATTGATACATATATAGTTTAGTGATTATACATTGATATGTTGAAAAGATATGTTCTTAAGCTATTTTATTCTTTAAATATATAGCTGAGGGTTGCATCATCTGCCTACAATATTATGTACATCAGCATACATATGTTCCTGTCCATCAAAAACATCATATGTACAGCATCCCCTTCCTTTTATGAAATGGCTTTGCTAAGCAGTAATAATTTCCATAGAAGGTATTAAGATCACTAACTATGATGTAAATTTGCCTCATAAAAGACCATGAGACAACGGACAAGAGAGACACTCACACAATAACACTGACACTTTGTCACACATGCATACACACGTATGAGAAGCTGGAACAGGTGCTTACTGAAGACAAGATCATCACTTCTATCTATTTCCCGGCTTCTTCAACAAAGTCTTGAAGGACAAGAACATGGAAGACAGAACAGCACATGGCCGGACTTCTATGACAGATAATGGTGACTTATCTTTCAACTTTTGCTTGTTATTTCTACAGTAGTTTTATCTACATGGAACTGTTCATAATACGCTTTACATTGTTATTTTACACCATTGTGTGATAGAATAAAATCACACTTCATTTTTTATTTCATTGGCTCTTTCATTCATAATCGCCTCAAGACACTAAAAGAAGTATTATATGTGTCTAAAAATCCAACAGCGGCAAGTGGTTAACAATAACATATAAAGCCATTTATAAAACTCTGTTCCCCAATTACATCACCAATCTTGTCTCCAAATATCACCCAATCCATACTCTCTGCAATTTGCACGACCTCCTGCTCTCTAGCTCCCTTGTCTCCTCCCACGCTCGTCTCCAGGACTTCCACAGAGCTTCCCCCTATCCTCTGGAACTCTCTACCCCAATCTATCAGACTATCACCTACTCTGCTCACTTTTAGGCGATCTCTCAAAACCTATCTTTTCAGGGAAGCCTATCCTGCCCTCCGCTAACAATGGAATCTTCTACTCCTCCTACCAGTCCATCCATCCCCCACAGTTTTTACCTTTTGTACCACTAGCCCCTCCCTCTTAGATTGTAAGCTCCAAGGAGCAGAGCCCTCCTAACCCTCTTGTATTGAACTGTATTATTGCTGTATTGTCTCTCTTTATATTGTAAAGCACTGAGCAAACTGTAGGCGCTATATAAATCCTGTATAATAATAATAATCATCACCCTGCCATATGAGCTTCTGATGGAAGAGGCATTTCAACACACATTATACAGGCACAGACCACTGTTGTCACCATAAGGAGAGCCACCTTGTGAAATGCAGTCATCACTGAAGTACATGCATATAGAATAAAATTGCTGCAAAGAGTTTGCAGGAGATCAGCATCACTGAGATGCCACAATGATTTAACCACTTGCCTACAGGGCACTTATACCCCCTTCTTGGGCCAATTTTCAGGTTTCAGCGCTGTCACACTTTGAATAACAATTGCGTGGTCATGCAACACTGTACTCATATGAAATTTGTATCTTTTTTTGAGACAGATAGCGCTTTCTTTTGGTGGTATTTAATCACCTCTGGGTTTTTTATTTTTTGCTAAACAAACCAAAAACAACTGAAAATTTTGAAAAAAAAGTTTTTTCTTAGTTTTTGTTATACAATTTTGTAAATAAGCGATTTTTCTCCTTCACTGGTATGCGCTACTGAGGCTGCAGTGATGGGCACTGATAAGCTGCACTGATAGGTGGCACTGATGGGCACTGATGAGGAGGCACTAGTAGGTGGCACTGATGGGCATTGACAGGCATCACTGATGGGCATGGAAGGCAGCACTCATATATGATACTGATAGGTGGCACTGATAGGTGGCACTGACTGGCACTGATAGGCAGCACTGATGGGCACTGACTGGCACTGATAGGTGGCACTGACTGGCACTGATTGACAGCACTGATAGGTGGCACTGACTGGCATTGATAGGTGGCACTGATAGGTGGCACTGAAAGGCAGCTCATATGGGCACTGATATGTGGCATTGATGTGCACTGGTAGGCACTGATATGTGGCATTGATGTGGCACTGATGGGCACTGGCAGGTGGCATTGATGAGCACTGAGAGCTGGCATTGATGGACACTGACAGGTGGCACTGCTGGGGATACACTAATCATCAGGGAACACTGATCATCAGTGCTCTGATGATCAGTGTAGATGTCCCCTCTGAGGGATGCTGATTACCGGCTCTCCTCTCCTCCCGAGCTGTCAGTGTGACAGCTCGTGAGGAGAGAAATGCCGATAACCGGCATTTCCCTATTTACATGTGATCAGCTATGATTGGACACAGCTGATCACATGACCGAGCCGAGATCTTCGGCTCTTTCCGTTAATCCCGCGCCCCCGGAGCCACGCATGCGACGTCCTCCCAGAATGAGAGAACCGCCTTGTGCCCATCATTACCTTATATTGGGGGCAGGAGGTGGTTTAAAAAGGGTTTTTTTTTAATGTCCATTATTTAGGTTACATTTTTCTTTAGCAAACTAATCATTCAGTTAGGCATAATGTCATCGACTTTAAAGGGATGTTCTAGTTTTTCAATGTAAAAGTGAGCAGCCTGATGTAACTAATCCTACCAGTATATGCTGATATTGTAATGTATGCCCAGACATATATTCTCATTACATCACTGACTCTTCTTTAATATTTGCAGTGCTACAAAATGGTTGTTCTTTACGGATCCTTCTCACATTGTTGAAACCAATGATCTTCCTGTGTGTCTGATATCCTAATTCACAATTGTTAAGGGTTATGTGGGTTGTCATTGCTGAGCTCCTCTGCCTAAACATGCTGGTTTCTGGCTGTCACACTGATGCTTTGTCTTCAGTCACCAACCAGGAACCAATACTGTATAGGTATCAGGATCTCCGACTTTTCCCCAATTGTAATTTGCTGCATTCTTGTTCCAGGTCAGTGATTCAGAAACTAGCATTGTGAAAGTGGTCACCAATGTCAGTCCCCATAATATTGTCATGGAATGTGTACTTTAAGCAGCAAATGGAAGTAAGGGGGAGCCAGTTTTTAAGGCCCCCCCCCCCCCCCCGCACTCATGGGATTGTGACAGCTGAAGTGGGGCAGTTTCAAGGCCCCCCTGCCCATTCTTTCTCCTCAGTCAAGAGGTCAGATCACACCTGGTCCAGCTGTGGGAAATCTGCCCAGCAACATTCCCTGTCAGGTGACACAGGTGTGATCTGCCCAGAGATAGGAGAGGTCAGCTGACACTGGGGAAAATTCTGGAAGGTCACGTGACCTTTAACCTAGGGTCAGCTGACCTTTTGGAACCTTTCAGATGGGGTTTAACCCCCTATAAAAAGGGGCTCCATGAGGGGCTCTGAGCCAGTCCTTAGACCCCTGTCTGACAGTTCCCCTCCCCCCCCCTTGTCACGGACATATTAATTTGTGGTTTGGTCACCTTTCTACAAAGGGGGACAGTTGATTTCATTGTCTTTGGATATATTTTCACCCCGAGTCGTAGTGTCTGGGTTGTTGTCAATGGTTGATGTTATTGATAGTAAGTATAAATGGTTATTGATAACGTGATGTAAGGGGTCACATATTTATAGCAGTAATAAAGAGGCCGCGGCCAATTAACCTCCAATGATGTTTGTGTTGATTTCATTCATTTCAGACATGCCGGCTACAATCCCATAATAGTACGAAGCCACTAAGTGCTCCATCTAATGACTAATCTACACGTCTTCCATATATAATAAAATAACAAACACATGACAGAGCAAAGCATGTAATATTGTCAATGTCTTAGGGAATGTGACTCCCAATGTATACACTGCAAGAACAAACTCCTAATATGCCCACCAAACACATACTGTGCATTCTCTGTATGGGGAAATGACTGGGATGACATTGCAAAGGAAAGAAAATGAACAAAGTCTTACTCAGATCAGGGTATGCGGTGTTATTACATTGACACTCTCCTGATGGCGTGCATTCTTCATCTGTGGCACATCCACCCACACAGATAGGAATAGCTGCAGAAGACACAGCAGGAAAATATCTGTTTATAATGACATCCTACAATGATCAGACTCAGAAAGTACACTTTAAAACTGATATGAAAATACTTACATGTGCAACAGGATAGATTAGTGCTGTAGTATAGGCCCTCTGGACAGCAGAGGATGGGATCAGAGCATGTTGTATTTTTGTTTGGAATACAGAGCGTATTATCATTACATACACATCCATTACCAGGAAAACATTCCCCATAACATGGGACAGTGTCACAATAAGTCATATTCTGGTACTGGGCTGAGAAGAGAACAAAAAGATGTTAGAAACCAGGAGCTTTTGTAATTAGCCAATTTACAGATCAGATCACATGGCACAAAAACATCTGCAATATCACTACAACCGGCAACAGTATTTATAAAACTGCCCATAAAACTTCTGCAAACAGTAGAAAAATCTTTTGTTCAACAATCGTATTAATTCCTTTGGTGATTGCAATGACTTTATAAGTCCTAATGTAAAATGTCCCTTTACCATGAGAACAGTCGCTCCCAACTGAGAACTAGGAATGTGCAATTGTGTGTGTTCCTGGCTGTCAGACCCGCTGAGTCCTAGAGTTATTGTCCAGGTAACTGACCACACCAATGCTGCCAAACTTGGTCTGGGTGTCAAAAAAAAGTAATCACACACTATATATATATACAGTATATTCCATCACTTTTAGACAGAGCTGAGGATGAACCTTAACCCCTTCATGCCTAAGGGTAAAACAACCTTAAGCACAATTTTGCAACGTTGCCATGTGTTAGTGAAACCGTACATATCATCACAACTACTTTGTACATCCAGGTGAATTATACCTTGTTTTTATCAGGACAAATTTGGCTTTCATTTGTTGGTAAATGGTAATGCATATCTCCTGATTTTATTTTATTATCAAAGGAAAACTGGCTCAAAATAGTAAAAATAAAAAAAATCACTTTTGTTATTTAGCTGTGTGTATCTTGTTACTATCATAACCTACCACCAAAGAACAACCCAAAACAAATTCTCCAGCTCTTGACGATCGCAGCGATACCATATACAGGTAGGTGTATGTTATTTGTACCCGTAGTACAGCCCAGAAACAATAGTGCGCATTTTGTTTTTGTTTTTACCTAAAACACACTGACACATAGACCCTGATTTACTATTATGCCTAGGTGCATTTCTGTGGGCTAACGTCTACTTTTTAATAGCGACCGTCTACTTTTAGACTGCAAAGACATTTACTAAAGAGAAGCGTCAACAAGTAGACTCCAAATCGAATTTACTAATGAGACACAGCCCAGGAATCAGACTCAAAAAGCAGACTTGCTAAGAAGCATGTCTAACACCATTAAAAATCACTGCAGAGACATGTTCACATTGAAATTTGCTTTGCCAAATATCAGGACTTCACTTTAAACAATATCTGACATTTCAAAAATTTTTTTAAAATGTGTGTAAAAAATTGTTTTTTTTTAAATCAAGTTGTCACAGTGAAGAACTAGACGCTTTTCCAGTGTCTATGGCCGATATAACTGAGCATGTGCAGAACACATTTTAGACGTCTTCTGTGGGCACTTTCTTTTTAGACCCTGTTCAATAGTAAATCTCTGTGTGGAATCCACTGACAGACGGCACTCGGTCGCGTCTACTGTGTTTGACAAACAGCACTAGGCATATCTTTATGTATTCTAATTAGATTTCCTTAGTTCTATTGATTCTATTTTTGTTTCTTATCCTTTATAATTATTTCTGTAATGATTTTACTTATTTTGAAGGTCCCTTCGGGATGATATGTATATTGAAGGGGTAAAACTCCACGCCGCAAATAAACCAAAAAAAAAAAAAAACAGTGTGGGGTTCCCCCAAAAATCCATACCAGACCCTTATCCGATATTAAGCATGCAGCCCGGCTGGTCAAAAAACGGGGGGGGTACGAGCGAGCCCCCCCCTCCTGAACTATACCAGGCCACAAATCGCACACCTAAATTTGTACGCCCCCCTGGATGCGACTTGTCATGCGATTGGCATGGCCAGCACTTGCCATTTGCATGGCAAATTGCACACAATGTTACCAGGGGTTAACACCACTGTCACATCTAACCGATGTGGCAATTGCCGACTGACGGTGAAGTTTCATGAGTTCCCCACAATCCAATTGGATGTGAACAGAACCTACAGGGGACAATAGGGTGCGACTTTGTCTACAATTTGCAAGGCCCCCTGTCATGCCAATTGCATGCCAAATCACAAACAATGTTACTGGAGGCTACCCCGGTCACATTACAAGCAGATTTCTAAGTGGTGTTATTTACACTACAGTCACATCATGTGACTTACAGTAAAGTCACATGATTTCAAAGTCGGTGGACATGCTGATTTAAAGTGCGATTTGCAAGACATAGACACAGATCTCTTTGCAAAACTCATGAAAAGTAGTGTATTCATTATTTTAGAAATTGTTGCGGCTCCAACCAAGTTTGAACCACACCAATATGAACGCTCTAATAGCGGTCACATTGAGTGCGACTTGGCATGTGATTTGCATGACATGCGACTTGCAAATCGTATGCCAAGTCGCACCCTATTGTCTGCTATTAGAGCGGTCACATGGGTGCGTTTCCGACACTGATTTCTAAAGTAGTACATGTACTACTTTTGTAGCGATTTGCATAGATATCTGTGTCAGATGTCTTGCAAATCGCAAGGAAATTGGCATCTTCACTGTACATCGCACAATTTCTAAATCGGCTTTGATGTGACCGGGGTGTAAGGCCTTTTTATGTTTGATTTCCTGAGTGTTTTTTCCATTTTATTGGAAATCCCACATTCTACCAAAAGTGAATTGACATTTTCAGTAGTGCATGCGAGATGTGGTCATGTGACTGCCTTAACTCATGCGATAATTTGGAGTGAAATGTGCCCATAGGGTCAAGAAATATTGCCAATAGGGTTCCCTTTTACATCCCTGTTCAATGTTCTGTTGTATACTGCACAGGTAAACGTCACTGTGGCTTTCTTTCTGACTCTGATTTGTGGGGCCTGTATACCAAGGGTTAACACAGGTGGGAAGAGGATTCATCAGGTGCAAACACTTTCTCTGACCAAATGAATGACAGTGGTGGGTGTGGCCTACCTTATATAAAGACATGCAGTAGTGGCTGATTTTTTGCCTTGTACAGGCACATTATTTCTGCAAGTCCTTGTCTGTGGTGGTTTGGGGGGAGGAGGAGGAAGAGATATTGTGGTGAATTGCCCCAGCCCACACTCACGCTGTGTTTTGATGTGGGCTGTAAATGTCTTGTATGTTCTTCCTTCTAAGGTATGT